AGGTGGGCTCTAGGGTACTGTCTGAGGGTCAACTGGAAAATGTCCTTGTAGTACTTAGCAATGCAAGGACAAAGTATGGAGGGGACCAAGGTGGGCCTAAAATAAAGCACTGATGGTAAGTCAGCAAATCACAGGTTTGAACTTTGCATGTCTGTATCAACAGCACCCAATTATGGAAATCCAATGCTTGAGACCTGTTATTTAGAACATATTAAGATGAGCATGGTTCTTGCCCTTCTCTTCCCTGTATTTTTAAAAAGACTTGTCAAACAACAGCAACAACAACAACTAGTGAACCCCAAATTGTTTTTACCCTTTATAAATGCCATTACACCTCTTCAAATATAAAGTTTTAGGAATTACGACTTGGCTGTTGGGCACACTCAGTTTTAAAAAGGTAATGCTTTGACAATGGTTGCTATTTGACCGCAAAGTAGTGGGGTCCTTTCTAACTACTATAATTGCATTGTTATAATGAAGACTAAAGAAAACACAAAAAGCCTTTTGGGCTGGCAGAGAAGAGTTTTAAGAAGAAAAGCACTTGGCCATTTAATCCCATGTTCTCTACAAAGTTTCCCAAATCCTCAGTCTACTGACATTCAGAGAGCATCCACCCCATGCTTGTTAACCATCCACGCAGCAGAGTTTTGAATCAGAATTACATGTTTTCTCATATTCCTACACAGGTCCACCAGTTCTAATAAAAGGTTGGAAAATAATCTCAGATTTGTATACTGATTTTCACATACCCATTTAATTAAATCTGCATTCTTAAAGCATGTTCTGAGTGAAAAGTGTCTGTGATTACATATTTTCAAAAAGAAGGAATTACATTTGTTGCTTGCAGATTCACAATGTAGATGAGAAGTCCTGAAGAAAATGAAACTTGTTTAACGTTTCTCAAATTTACTGGTTACAGAGACTTTTGCTTTTGTTTAAACTCATGGGAAATGCTGACCTAGATAAATTAAGAGGGCAGTAGAGAAAAACTTCCTTAGAGGTGTCAAAAAATTGTTCCTCCTTGGTCAATGAGTAAATGATTATATAAGCTTAAGACATGTTCACCAGGCCATATAATTTTATTGGAGAGGTTATATGATTTACACAGTTGATTGTGTATTTGATTCAGAGGGGGACTAAATTCTGTATAAAGCATATCATTTCCAAGAAGCATCATTTTTTTAACCTTTGTATTTTGTAATAATTTCAGATTTATAGAAAAGTTGTAAAAAATGTACAATGGATTTCTATATATTCTTCTCTCAAATTCCCCAAAATGTTAACGGTTCACATTTTAAAAATCATTCTCCCTTTCTCTCTATATGTGTGTGAATACACAAACACACACATATGTATATGTACGTTTTTTTCCCTGAACCATTTGAGAGCAAGTTGCTGACATGATGCTCCTTTACCTCCAAAGACTTGTGTGTATTGCTAAAAACAAGGATATCCCTTTATATAACCACAGTACAAATATCAAAAAATTAACATTGATTTAATACTATTATCCAGTCTACAGACCTTATTTGAATTTTACCTGTCTCAATAATGTCCTTTTCTGGGACTTTCCTGGTGGTGCAGTGGTTAAGAATCCGCTTGCCAATTCAGGGGACACATGTTTGAGCCCGGGTCCGGGAAGATTCCCACATGCCGCGGAGCAACTAAGCCTGTGTGCCACAACTACTGAAGCCCGTGCGCCTAGAGCCCGTGCTCCGCAACAAGAGAAGCCACCACAATGAGTAGCCCGCCCACTGCAATGAGAAGCCTGCGCACTGCAACGAAGAGCAGCCTCTGCTCGCCGCAACTAGAGAAAGACTGCGCGTAGTAACAAAGACCCAATGCAGCCAAAAAAAAAAAAAAGTCCTTTTCTAACAAGCAAAGTTTTGTTTTGTTTTTTCCTGGCCCAGGATCCAGTCTGGAATCACTTGTTGCATTTAATTATGTCTCTTTCACCTCCTTTAATTTAGAGCAGTTCCTCAGTCTTTGAGCTCATGACGCTATCATTTTTGAAGAACACAGGCCATTTTGAACAATGTCCCTCCATTGGATTGTCTAATGTTTCCTCATGACTAGATTCAAGTCATACATTTTCAAGAATGTGTGCTCTTTTCAGGAGAGACACATGATGGCTATTTGTTCCACTACTAGTAAGGTTAACTTTTGATCACTTAAAGTGATATCTGCCAGGTTTCTCTACCATAAAGTTACAATTTTTCTTTTCATGTAATATCTTATAGGCTTCGAGATTATGTAAATATTCCGTTTTTCATTAAACTTTCACCTACTAGTTTTAGCATCTGTCACCCTAAATAAAGAGGTAAATTGAGGCAAGCTCAAATTACCAGAAATATTGGTGCCATTTTTCCATTTGCTCATTTCATTCTCTGTGTCCCATTTTGGTAATTCTTGCAATATTTCACTTTATTATTAATTATTATTATATTATCATATGATTGGTGATCTTTGTTGCTACTATGACTATGACTCACTAAACCTCAGATGATGGTTAGCATTTTTTAACAATAAAGTATTTTGTAATTAAAATATGTACATTGTTTTTTAAAGACAATGTTATTGCACAGTTAATAGACTACAGTATATTGTAAACATAACTTTTACATGCATGGGAAACTGAAAAATTCATGTTACTTACTTGTGATATTCACTTTATTGTGGTAGCCTGGAATTGAACCTGCAGTGTCTCTGAGATATTCCTGCATGGTAGTTGCCAGATGGTGATTCCTAAACGCAGTATTCCTTTTACTTTAACTGTCATTCTATTGTAAGGAAGACCCTTCTCTTCTGCTGTTGATTCATTTATCTCTATCTGTATGGACTTGTGGTTTCTTGTTTCATTCTGTGGGTTATAATTTATTACTATAATTATTTGTTTTGACACTCAATTATCTCAGATTGGCTGGTGGGATACCCCTCAATCTGTGTCCTTTAGTCATATCCCCATCATTCTCTGAGCACGTCCTTACTAACTGGCAGAGCAAGGTATTCCAGGCTCATCTTGTGCTTTCCCTGCCCCAGCCCAGGAATCAGTTATTTTTCTAAGAAGTCTGGGTGTGTTTGTTGGGTTTTTTTCTTTAAGTAGAAAATTTAGAAACCAGGATGTGTTAGGTATTCTCATTGTTATTGGGCTGTCACTGCTTCTAGACCCTCTTAAAGGACAGAACTAGTAAATACATGTATATGTGTATATGCATATCTGTATCTATAAATATTTATATTTTCTATTCATCTATATGTATGAAAAACCTATGAGTTCATACTGATGCTGCCAATTCCAGTCCTGGACCCATCATTTATAATTACTACCTTGAAACTGTGTCAAATCTCATAGACTTGAAGACATTAAATTCAGCTGCTGTAGAATAGCAGCTACAAGATATTCTGGAACTGCATAATTCCAGTCATCTACCCATTCACTTACTAGGTCACACCCTATGTGCTAGGACTTGGCTAGGAATATGGAAATGAAAAAGACTTTCTCCTTGTCCTCAAGCAGCTCAATCTACTGGAGACAGTTGAGGAAAAAATAATTACAGTATAGTACAATAAGTTCTGTATTAGAGTTATTCACAGTGCTCTATGGAAACAGAGAGGAGGGCCCCCCAACCCAACCCGAGTAAACTGGGTTATTTCAAAGGAAGTAAAAATAGGTTGCTTACAGTAGTTATTGGAAGAGTTCTTAGATTACCGAATTTGCATGAAACGAAGAGTGCACTTTGCTTCCAAGCAAAAGTACATTTTGTGGAGAGCTCTGATTTATCTAGAAGTGTTCTCTGCATCGATTGAATTCATCACAGAACTACTCAGCCCTGACAATACCTATGCAAATCAGTTCCAGGGGAGTCACTGTTAGTTTGTGGGTCCAAAGGTTAGGTTTCACACTTTCTATTCTGCCCCTTCCTCTGACCATACAGGAAGGGAAAATTTTTGGACTTTTTCAAACTGCCTGTTATCCCAAATTAAATAAACTGACTTTGCCACTGTATCGATTGCCACCCTCTTGTGTAATAGTTTACACATACTGATTTTCTTTTATCTAAACTCAGTCTTGAACTAGAGAGAGTATGAAGGAAAGAAAAAGATTTGTGTGTGTGAGGCTATATATCTAGAAAGTAATGGCTAAAAAAAGAAATTGGGGTGGGGATAAAATATTAAGATAAAAATGAGAAAGGGATTTTATTATTTTTGTTGTATATATATGTATTCTTATCAAAATTTATCACTAGGTAAATTTATTTTCCCCCTTCTTTTCAAAAAATAAATGTGGACTATCTTGTGGTTTGAGTGCATCTCACCAGTTTCCCCCAGTTCCAAGTTGGTCACTCTAATATTGCTTATTTCACCAATTTAGAAATCCCAGACTAGAAAGTTGCTCAGTAATACATGTAAGTAAAGATCACCAGCATCAGGAGGTTGATCTTGACATGACTTGCTGTCTCTCCTTCTGCTACAACATGATTCCTTAGTATAGCTGATACCACAGAAAAAAGTAGAACTGAGAAATGTGTATACATTTTCATCACTATAGGAGCAAAGCCAAACACGACTGAAATGTTTATTTTTTATTAGGTGGCCTTAGATCATAGAACATATAAAATCAGTTTAGTCATGAAATGCTCGTGATAAATAATAAACTTCAAATGTTAATAAAGATACTGAAGAGTTTTCTGATGCTTTCTTTTTAAAAAAATGTAATTTTAGGTAACCATAAAGCTGAGGCAAGGGTAGTTTGGGTTCTTGGAAAGAATCCCCAGCCATCACTGGCTGCCTCTGGGTGCAGAAGTACTTGTGTGTGGATCCAGTGGAAGGGGCCAGGCTTATGTCAAAGGTCCATGTGCTGATAGCAGCGGCAGCACCTGCAGAAAGCACGGGTCCTACACATTTTGCATCATGTACCTCTTCCTCAAGTGCACGGAACCATAAGGACAGTGAGCCACCAGGTGGGGGCTTTGACATATGTAATGATTAGTGAAAGCTTCTTTGAAAGTGAGAATTTTTCATTACTTTATTAAATATTATATTCAATTCAAAGGCTTTGACCATCCATAATCATCATTGTATGTATACACACATACAATATGTGTGTATATATGTAAAAAATACCCGTTCAACATACTTTTAAAGGAATAACTGTGTTTTGAAGTCTATGCAACATGAAATATGATTTGATATAAAAAAACTAATCAGAAGCCTGAAAAATGATATGTTTTAATAAGAGCCTATTGCAGGTTCTGGAATGATTGTGGCATGCATGTCCCTGGTCATATTGGACTTCTCCTTCAATTTTGACTGGAGTAATGTGTGTTCCACAACACCGATTCTAATGTCCATCTGAATAGTTTCTTGCTTCAGCTTCGTTAAGCTCTGTTTAATCTTCACCAAAGGAGCTGCAGAATGAAAATAACATGGAATAAAAATGTTCATTTGGAGTATCAGTGTATTACAGAATGGTATGACATTTTCCTCACTTTGTGTTAAGCCAAAAGTGGGGTTAAAAACACAGCCAACAATTTACTGACATTCACACAGTTTTGCTGTGGCATTTTAAACACCTGAGATTTCTAGGCTGGGAAATGATGCAGCATTTGAGGTACTGAGGCTGAACTTCCTTTCTTTTCTAGAGGAAGAGTTGCTAAAGGTGTTTTTAAGGATGTCTTCAATTTTTTTTTTGCGGTACGCGGGCCTCTCACTGTTATGGCCTCTCCCGTTACGGAGCAACAGGCTCCGGACGCACAGGCTCAGCGTCCATGGCTCACAGACCTAGCCGCTCCGTGGCATGTGGGATCTTCCCGGACCGGGGCACGAACCCATATCCCCTGCATCGGCAGGCGGACTCTCAACCACTGCGCTACCAGGGAAGCCCAAGAATGTCTTCAATATTTATCTAAAGGAAAAGGGGATACAATGGAAGAAAAAGAGAAGGAAGAACTACCTTTAAGACATAGCTAATGGCTCATTCAAACATACTGCAAACCCCCTATACATCACCTTCTGAAAGATCACTCAGTATATTCTGTTAGAACTCTAGAAAATCTTTCTAGAGCAACGAAGGGCCTTAGGCAATCACCACTGGGCCATGTCAAAGTAACTAGCTCACAACAGAGGATGATTACTGCAGGATTATTAATTCTTCTCTATTTGACCCTTGCCCAGTCAGGTCTACCAGGGAAGAGGGGAAAAAAAAGGTCATCACATCACCACCTTTGTGCCGTTTGGGCGTACACTTAGTGCTTTTTTTGTACATGAAATGGAATAATGCAGCTCATTTGATGAAAACAGAACAAAATATTATTTTTTTAAACTGGCATAACAAAGTGCATATTTAACTGTCTCCTACTCTATTTCTGAATTAATACAGTTTGAATTTTTTTTAAAATCCTAAATGATAGTAAAAAAATTATGACTCTTCTCAGTTCATTTATAAGGAAAACAGTATACTGATTATCAGATCTCATTTTTGCACCACGTACCTCCCCTTCAAACAAATTCATTTTAAAAAGCAGTCTTCCTGTTTATTAATACCTCTTTAAAAATAGATTTCTTAAAGATATATTCTTCTTTTGCTCATTTGCTTCTTAAAATGAGTGTGTACTTACCACCATCAGTCATACTGCTGCCTTTTTCTTCCATTTCTTGTTTTACCTTTTCTAGCTCTTCTGTAACCTTTCATTGAAAACAAAAGTTTTCATGAGCACTGTGTTTTAATAAACTTTCAAGATTTTTGTATGATGTATTAAAACATTAATTCAGATATAATACATACATAAAGGGGTACAAAGATATTAGCAGTATTCTGGGCATAATTTGAATAATGAAGTATGCAAACATGAAAAGCTTTTTATCTTGAGAGTGCTCCTATTGTTAAACTTCACCAAATTATTCTTTTATTGACTGTCTCAGGTTGTAACATGATAGAATAAAAACGATCAAGTTGTTTTTTTAGGCATCAAGCACTCAAGCTTTGCAGTTATCTCATAGCATCTACCATGCCAGTCTCTAATGATCAGTTATTAACTAAAACAGCACAAACATCCTAAAAAGATTTTAAATTTCTAGAAGTTTACTACGTATCTTTAATATTACAGTTTTATAAGAGTATATGCCACCTTTTCCTCTATAGGACACTAAAAATAACGTTTATACCATATGGATATATATAAAAATATTCTAACTGCTTTACTTTATCCAAACCATGAACTCCAAGAGGCACACTGGGCTGTTATACTGGCTCTAATCTGTACTCTATATCATGCTCAAAATTATACTCCTATAGCCTCTATAAATTCCAAACTAGCATAAATGTAGGTAGAAAATATCTTTTAAAAATTGAAAAATTTTGATATGATCTAGAATGAAACCATAATCGTAACTTAGTAGGCTTTATTTTTATCATGCTGGTGAGTAAAAACTTCCTTGGGAATAAAGTGCTCATCCAAGTAAAAGCAAATAAACTTTTTTCAGGCACCTGAAATGTTACAACTGGGGATAACTACATACTCCAAAAGAACTAAATGGTTCCCTGGACTCCCTTCAAGTGTTAATTTACCTAACATAAGTGAGCACTTTACTTCTGTATAATGTTTTATCTGCCTAGAAGCACCACGGGGTTACAGTCTAAATATTTCTAAAGTTATATTTTTAGTATTTTAAAATAACTATTTACTCTTCAAATAATCTCCATAAAAGGAGCTTAATTCTATTATACAGAAAAGTTTGTGACAATTATACTTGATTGTATCCAAAGATAATCTTGGACTTTACTCCCATATTGGCTGCTGACCTTGTTGTAAGGTTTTTTTTCCTCTCAGCTCTTCAGTGAAAAATGGGAGTATATATTATTAATATACATATATAAATATACATGGGTAAGACCTAATATATAATATATATGTATTACTAATATAATTCATGTAGTATGTTATATGTTAGGTCTTACATCTCCTGCAAGATGATGAAAATAAATACACTATATGTAAATATTCCATAAGTTTTTAGAAGGGAAAGGGTTACAAGCCATTCCCAATTTGTGGACAGAGAAATACGCAGGATCACACACAAGTTACCAACAACGATCACTAAAAACAAATCTTATATCTTAAAGACTAACATTAAAATTTATTATAAGACATTTAAGTCAATGTTTTACCTACTCTTCTATGTATTAATTACAATTATTATGTTTTAAAAAAGGTTAAGGAAGATTATAAATGTGCTAATATTATGAGCATGTGTTATGTTACATTTAGTAAAACAACTTCAGGCATTTTTGTGGAAACAAGTAGTATATAAATAGGTAATTGATTCACTGATAAGACAATTTAGGGATTTTGTCTTGAAGGAAAGGATTTAAGAGCCACAGGAGGCAATTACTAGAGTAAACAACCCACGGCAGTAGCAGATTAAACCATCCATGGCTCTGAACCATGGTACCCCGCTGACAGGTGAGAATCTGGCAGGAGCACACAGTATGTACCTCAGACAGGAGTCTGGTCCTTTCAGTTACTCCACCGTTTCCCTGCTGGTAACGCTCCCTTGCCTGAGGGAGAAAACATTTTGTTTAATGGCAAGTTCAAAACAGAAGCCCATGACTTAAATATGACCTCGTTGTGTTTGTAATTTTTGCATATCATTTTATGACAACACCCCTCCTTGTTTGTGAATACTATTGCAAAAAGTGACATTTTAACGGTAGCTATTTTATGTCCCTCATAGGCACCATGTATTTAACAAAAGCACTATACAACGATGAACTACCTTAACCTTCATATAATAATTGTGTAACTCACAGGGGCATGGTTCACAATAAAAACTGTCCTCAGCCACTCCTAAACAGTTTAGACAACGGCTCTTGGTCGATCTAATCTGCGTGCTATGCAGAGAAAACATGTTCTAAAAAATCAATCATAATACAGCATCAGAGTCAGTAATTAATAAGGATTAACAAACAGTATGACAATATGGAATATGTCCTTGGGAACGAACTTAATCAATTATTTAATATCAGTGTTTGAGAGATACAGGGTGGCTTTAATCAGAGACTTTTTATAGCATTTTAAAAGTAAAAACATTTGCAAATAGACGTGTATACGTGTGAATAACTAATTAAACAAATAATAAAACAGTGAAGGTTACTTTCTGCTTGGTCTTTGAGAACTTCTGAAAGTATGGAAGTATCTCAAGTTTAGTTCCATTTTTTTCTCCTTCTAACCTTGTCTGCTGAAAGAAAAAAATATGCGTTCAACTGACATTCGCAGTTGTTGAGGAAGACGTTAGTAGTCTTCCTCAACATCAGGAAAGCGGGGGCATAAATCCCAAAGGAAAGCCTTTAGATCCCTACTGTTGGAACAAAGCACTGCTGCTTTCAAAGGCTGAAGGTTTTATTTTATTTTGGTAGAATTTCTAAAACTTTGAAAAGATTAAAAAATTTGCTCATTTAATTAAACTGCTTGCCTTCGAACGTGTCTTCTTTCATATTCCTTATTATGTGGTTGTAAGCCACAATGGCAAGGATGTCTTTTCTCCCTGACACATGTAAATGTATACTATTCCACTTCCTCCTACTCAGACAGTAAATTAACAGCAGACTTAGAAACAAAACCAGGTGTCCTGACACTCTGCTCTTGTTCTAAGCCACGTTTCTCAGCAATATGACTTCTTTTACTTAAATCAAATGAAGAAATACATTTAAAGACTTCTAAGAGATAATTTCTATCACATGTAAAATGGAGATGACAAGTTGTATTTGCTTCCTAAAGTGGGCAGAGAATCAATGTGCTGCTGTTTGTGAAAAGTATTTCATGATTCTCAAATGAAAGGTCCTGTGTCAGGACTTCCCTGGCGGTCCAGTGATTAAGATTCTGCCTTCCAGTGCAGGAGGCACGGGTTCAATCCCTGGTCTGGGAAATCAGATCCCACATGCAGTGGGGTGAGGCCAAAAACTTAAAAAAAAAAAAAAAAGTGCTGTGTCAAGTTTAGGGATTAGGATCATTAATTGGAATGAACCCTGGATATCATTCCTCAGTTACCTCACTCAGCTGGGCTTGAGCTGCACGATATTCCTGAACCAAGTGCTCAAGCTGATTGTTGATGTACTTTTCTCGGCTGCCAATCTTCTCCAGAGTCCTGCTAATTTCACTGTGAAGTTTGTCCAAAAGTCCCTAGAAATTTTAGTAGACAGAGAATTCACAAATATATTCTTCAAAAGTAGTTTTAAATGGGTTAAATCTCCCTCAATTCATCTCACAAATTCTCAACCACCAATGAAAAAGTAGTTTGAAATTTTCAGCAACAAAAAAGTCTGTAATGAAAATTATTTTAGTCACACTTTGCAGAATGTTAAAATAAAAAAGCACCTGGTAGTGTTAGTCAATTTATTTGTCCTTACGCAAATCTAAAATATATGTGAGTGGAATGTGCTTTATTATATAAAGTCCACAATCAAAGTAGGTAAGGGAATAACACAATTTTCTTATAGCACAATTCAAAGATGACTGGAATATTCCAGTTGGAAGTAGATCATTAAACTTATAGCTCTAGTCTGGGACCCATAACTTCTTACTCCAGCTTTGCTTCTTTGTGGTATTCTCCAAAAGTCCCTATTTCTGGCAGGGCAGCAGGTCTGGGAAGCTGTAGGTTCTAGGCGTTGCTGGCCTGCTGCTGTTATCCCCTGAGATTCAGTGGGGAAAGAATGATGAAATGATTCTAATATGCCTACCTATATATCTAGAGTATGTAATAATATACTAGGTATATATCATATTGCTTTTATACAGTTACCTTTCTTTAGTTGGTTTAAGTGTTAGGGCTGTTGAAACATAATATGGTACATTCAATCAGGAAACTCCTCAAGGGAAAGGATTGGGTCTTTTTTCCTTTCATGTTCTCTCTTAATAGGTATTACACAGATGAGTAAATGTACTCATGTACTCATCTGAAGTAATTCACATACCTTGGTCTCCTTTAGAGCAGATTCAATTCCACTTTTGTGCTGGTGCATTTGGTCAACATGGATTCTCCAATCCTATAGGCATAAGAGCATACAGGAACAAGTAAAACATATTACATTTCCTACTTTCCACTACTTTTTTGAAGTTGTATCCTTTATTTTAATTACTTTGGTTGCTGCCCTATTTCGGGTAGGAGAGTCCTATATATAGCTTGCAATCAGATTGTAAAGAAATGTGTGTAGAGCACTTTAGGATAAAAGGTTCTAAATAAATCTAAATTATTTTATGTGTTCACAGAGTGATGTCTCACAATTTGAATGTAAATTATCCCCGCACTGCTGGTGGTTAATAGTTATGACTACCCATCAAAATGAAAAAAATTCTAATTGCTAGAAAAGAAATACCTGTTTAAACAGTAACAATTATGTTTGCCAGAAGCAACTCTGGAATCAAGTAACATATATCAAATATTAGCTTGTCCCTTGAAATTAAAGTGGGACGCTTCTTTGGACTTTGGAATCTCTTTCTTAAGAAAGGAAGTCTGTAATGATAGTTAGAGTTCATATATTTGAGATGTATTGTACTACTTCTAGAACGATCTGAATTTGTGTGCATATATATGTATTTTTTTTTGCGGTACGCGGGCCTCTCACTGTTGTGGCCTCTCCCATTGAGGAGCACAGGCTCCGGATGCGCAGGCTCAGTGGCCATGGCTCATGGGCCCAGCCGCTCCACGGCATGCGGGATCCTCCCGGACTGGGGCACAAACCCGTGTCCCCTGCAACGGCAGGCGGACTCTCAACCACTGCACCACCAGGGAAGCCCTGTGTGCATATTTGAACTCTCTAATCTAACATTTTAATTTCCTACAAAAGATCCTCAAAATGTTTTGGTTTACATTACTAAAGGTAACAATTTTAAGACTTGAGAAATACTCATCAGAAGAGAAAAAATATTAAGGTGAGTTGCAGTAAGTGATGGAGCCAGGATATCCCTCAATCACACACATCTGCTTGCATGCCCTGATGCTCCACTTTGCTATCTACACTATTTTGTGAAGGAAAAACAATTTTGTGAATAATCCCATTCTACTGACTTCTTAACTTTGCAACGTGGGCCAGTGACCATAGGGTAAAAACATCCTTGGGTACTTCACACATACCAATTATACAATTACATTACAGCTGCAAAGAACCTCAAAGAATATCTAGCCTGACCTTCATCATTGCAGAGATAGGCAAACATAGGCCCAGTGACAGAAAGGGGCACACCCAAGGCCACGGAGGTGGTGGTACACCTGGATCAGAAGCCAAATGCACTAATTCCCATGCAGTACCTTTTGGCAGTTCAGAGTTAATAAAAGGAGGAATTGGCTGCTTGACACCAGTGAAAGTGCTACAGCAGAGAACAAACAGCACTTTCCTTTGTCCTTAAGCATTTTTCTGTCTCATGAGCGGAAAGTATCTCAGAATACAGAGCGTGGAAAGGACCTTGAAGATCACCTACTCATCCTTCTAACAGTCATCTAGAGCAATGCCTTCATTTTGCAGTTGAGGGGACTGTTCACCACCTGTGACTACGGCTAGACAGATGCGGCCAGAAAACAGGCCCCTCCAGCTCAGCCAGTCAACACTGGAACAGGAAGGAGAAGCAACTGGCTGGCCTCCTGCAACGAGACCTAATATGGTTAAGCTTCAAAATGGAAACCTGCTTAAGTCCAAGCAAGCATCTTTATGAAAGATAATAAACCTAACAAGTATCATTATATTGATTTTTTAAAGAAGTACTCATCCTGCCTGATTCCAGAAAGAATTTTAGAAGCTTAATAAACACCAAACTCAAGTATTCCTATTGGTCTCTGTCTCTGTCAATAGATATATATGTATATGTGTGTATATATACATATATAAATGTATAAACATACACACATATATATATCTATACATACATTATATATATAGTTTTAAAATTTATTGTAATTGATGTGTTTGAAATAGTCTGTGTTCTGCTTTTTCTACGCAGCATTATTTTCTATCCAGCAAATGTAAAAAATGTATTTTTTTCATGTTTTGATATTCAAAGTACTTTGAGAGAAGAAAACATGCCTGACTCATCTAAGAAGTATAACTATGATAACTTACGTTGATGGTAAGCTCCACGGAGGAGCTGGCATTTCAGTGGCACCTTGAAGCATGAGTAGCATTTCAACACACTGGAAAGGAGGGGGAGAGTAAGGGTATTTTAGGCTGAGGGAGTAACAAGAACAAAGAAAAACAGGAAAGTTTATAGGGAACAGGCAGCCCAGGCTGGCTAGAATATAACACAAAAAGTTCTTGGGGTGGGGTGTGGAAGGTGAATCACAAGGAAACAAAGCTGGAGAGGTAGGTTGAATTAGATCAAGGGCTTTAATTAAGGAGTGTGGATTTTATCCTGTAGATAATGGAGAGCTATCAACGACTTTTGGTTTCAGTTTTAAAGACAAGTCTGTGTTTTGGGAAAGTAACAGAGTGAAGGACTGATTAGAAAGGCAAGAGACTGAAGACAGGTAGCAGACCAGTTAGGAGGTTGTGTCACGGTCCGCCTGACAGATTAGCAGGGGTTAATTAGAGCAGCGCTTGTAAGAATGGAAGGGAAGGGATGGATTCGAGGGACACTGCAGACACAGACTAGCAGCACTTGATTACTGACTGAGGGGAAGTGAGGGGTGGCTGAAGTGGAGGTGGGCCAGTAGAGAGAAGATGTTTGTAAGGTTTCTAGTCTGAGGAACTGAGAGGATAGTAATATCACAGTGTGACAAGAACAGAGTAGATTTCAGGGAGCCTGAATTATTGAGGAATTTGGTTTTGGACTTTTTAATTTGATAAGCCACTGGAACACTGTGTATTCTTATTGCCTTTCAAAGTGGAAAGCTAGTAATGATTTATAATTATCCATCAGGCAAATCTGAATGTTTGTTTCATTAAAATCTTCTAAGTGGACACACTTCCTGATGTACAGCTATTTTTATATAAGCTTTAAAAGTGTTCTTACCCTTTAACCCAGCAATTTCACCTCTAGAAATTATTTCCAAGGAAATAATTGGGGATACACACAAAGATCAATGTACAAGTTCTGTGTAAAACAGCAGAAGACTCTCTATCTAACAGTAGAGGACAATTTCAACTAATTTTGTAATGTTCATTTCATCCCTAAAAATAATGCGGTATGATACCGTTTTTATAAAGCTCAAAGTAAAACTCAAGGATACACACTATTTGGAGATACACATGTGAAAACACACACACACACACACACACACACACGAAGAAGAAGAGGCAGCAGCAGCTAATGACAGTACACAAACCAGGGGACAGTTGTTACCTATAGGTGGGAAGGGGCAGCCGCAGAGCAGCACATAGGTAACTTCCAGGATGTTGTAATGGTCTAGTTCTCAAGTTGGGTAGTGGTTTCATAAGTGATCGCTTTATTACTGGATTTTATAATTCTATATGATTGCATATTAAATACATTAATATTGTATATTGAAATGTTCCCAAAAATATTTCATAGTCAGAAAAAATGCATGTTAACAACATACAGTAATGTGGAAAAACACTGCCAAAGAGTATATTCATTAGCTGTCCAATTTAGTAAAAATTAATATTTGTGTATATCTGTATGTGTGTATTAACACAGGGATTTGAATACTGGTGTTTTTAATTTCTTCCTCATCCTAACAACATTTTCCAAATTTCCTATAAGAGAAAATTTTTAATCATCAGGGGAAAAAAATGTCAAAAACTTTCTGGGTGCCCAAGACGTTTCCTAAAGGGGTTTAAAATAGTTGTAACAGAGAATATAAATGACTGTACTTGTAACAGTTTAAAGACATGAATACACAGCTTTTAAAAAACTGCAACTGAGATGGTTAAAAGCTTTACAAACGTTTGTGGTAAGAATGGAGAATATAGGTTTTAATGATATGTAAGGATTTGATCCTCCAAATAAGTAACACTAAAAGGAACTGTTAATCAATAATAGCTATTCTTAAGTAAGAGAGAATCCATTGGGTTACAGTGCACTTTTAAACATCTTTCCTTACTTGAGACTCACACAGGTTTGGAGCACTACGTACATATTCTCATCCCTTCCTTTTCACCACTATCCTTCCCTGTAAGAGGGTTATGTGACTTGCTGGCTGGTTGTGGGAGGACTGCACTTCACTGCTCCAGTGATGCCGGCCTTGGCCATGTGCTTCTCTTTCCAGTAGAATGATGATGGACATGGCCTATGCCAGGACTGCGTAGAAGCTGTAAGAGGCATCCACCAGCTCTCTTGCCCTTTCTTTCAGCCATGATAATAGGCATGCCCCACAGAGCGGTTTATCCTTTAGGTCTGAGAATATGAAACATGGAACATAGCTGGAATAGAGCTACAGCTGTGCCACACTTCGGCAGATGTGTATCTTGAGTGAGAATAAATGTATGCTATTCTTATTGTAAACCACTGTGATTTGGGGGTGGTTTGTGATACCAAAAAACTGACTATATATACATAATTCATAGGGACAAAAAAGAATCAGATAGGTTAAATGACCTTTCCAAAGTTTTATGTCTGGAAAGTGGAAAGCACTCCATACCAGTGCTTTTTCCACATATTATATGCTGCTTTTCTTTATGATAAAATGAACTACCGAAGAGTATCTAAGGTAAACCAAGAATTCTTTTTGTTATATATCAAGTGAGACCACATGGGCCACTGGAGGTTACTAGTCACCTATCCCAAAGTGCTCTACGTGTGTGTCTATTAAGCATCATTTCTGATCTCTGTTGAAGTTGAGTTTTTCACCTAATCTAGCACATTTCCTCTCTATGGAAATGAGAAGACTAGTAACGCTATAGAATATCATTTCTTTAGACTTTCTATTTTTAAAAATTCTTTCATACAAACTCTCATGTGTAATTCTCTCTGTCACCTGTGAGGTAGATGGCAAAGGTATTGTTGAACTATAACTCCCCTCCTGGCTCCAAATTCTTTAGCACCAAATTATATATCTCCCTTTTTCAGAAACTGGAGAACTGTGATGACATCTCTG